CTCGTTCCTCTCTTCAATCGATGTGGAATCTCACAATCCCCCCCCCCCCCCCCTTTGAGGCCCAACGTCTTCGTTGGCACTCGTTCCTCTCTCAAATCGATGTGGGATCTCAAGATCCACTCCCCTTTGTGGCCTAGCGTCCTTGCTGGTACACCGCCCGGTGTCCACCCCTTATAGGGCTCACCGTCCTTGCTAGCACACCGCCCAATGTCTGGCTCTGATATCATTTGTAACAGTCCAAGCTCACCGTTAGCAGATATTGTCCACTTTGGGCTTTTCATTTTGGGCTTCCCCTCAAGGTTTTTAAAACGCGTCTACTAGGGAGAGGTTTCCACACTCTTATACAGAATGCTTCGTTCTCCTCCCCAACCGATATGGGATCTCACAGATCATAACCCACAAACCATAGCGAACCAATATGAGGAGTGCTCGAAAAAAGGAAGAAAGAACTTGTTAGTACCTTTTTCGACCATCTTTCCTTTATGAATCACAGCGATCATGTCAGCATTCCTTACAGTGCTTAAACGATGGGCAACGATTACGGTAGTACGGTTAAGCATGATACGGTCCAATGCTTCTTGCACAACATGCTCGGATTCGGCATCGAGTGCACTCGTAGCTTCATCTAGAAGTAAGATTCGTGGATCCTTTAGAATCGCTCGAGCAATGGCAACTCTCTGCTTCTGACCACCAGAAAGCTGAGTTCCGTGCGCACCGACAAGCGTGTCCAGTCCCTAGATTCAATCAAGACTCCAAATATTACAACCTAAACATTCAAAGCTACTATTGATGTGTTAAACTCGTAGCGAACATCGATACCTGAGGAAGTTTGTCAATAAATTTCCAAGCATTGGCGAGCTCAGCTGCTGCTTTTATCTCGTCATTGCTCGCGCCGTCTTTTCCATAAGCAATGTTATCTCTTATGCTCGACGTAAACAACACGGGTTCTTGGCTGACCAGCCCGATTTTGCTTCTAATCCATTTTAGCTGAAGCTCTTTCAGGTTAATGCCATCAATAAGAACTTCACCCATACTTGGATCATAGAATCTCTCAATTAGACTTATCACGGTTGACTTTCCACTTCCACTTTGCCCGACCAAAGCTGCGGTCGTACCGCTTGGGATTTTGAGGGAAAATCCCTTGAAAATTGCCTCGTTCGGTCTCGTAGGATAGCTAAAATGAACATCTCTCAATTCTATATCGCCCAAAATGTCGTCTAACATCTTTCCTTTCGTGTCATAAGCATCAATCAATGGCTTCCTCTTGATAGTTTCAAACATTTTAAAGGCTGCAGCTTGGCCAGCACCAAATGCACTTAAGCATGGAGAAGCTTGGCCAAGAGACCTGATAATTGGCAACGAGTTAAGTAAACTATAACGCGACGTTTCCGATCAACTACGTAACGTGCAATGGCACAAATGTAAATAAAACTTACATGGAACCAGTTAACACGGCAATGACGACATTAATAACGTCTCCTCCCGTGTATCCTTTATCCAAAATCAACTTTGCGCCATACCATATAGCCAATGAATAGCTGCAGAAAACTACAGCTAAAATAGTTCCGAAACCAAGTCCAACGGCCAAGCCTTCGTGAACACCTGATCGATAAGCAGTTACAAGAAACTTCTTATAATTGCTCACAGCTTGTTTCTCTCCCGTAAACGATGCAACCTACAAAGCAGCAAAGTATTAAGCATCGTCTTTGATAAAGAATAGATAGTCGCTAACACAACAATAACTATATAGCGTACGGTTCTAATTGAGCTGATTGTCTGCTCGACAACATCGGCTGCTTTTGAGTAAGCACCTTGACCACGGGAAGTCACTTTGGTAACAACTAGCGATGTTACGCCCCCAGAAATCACGAGTAGAGGAAGCGTCGATAACATGACGAGCGTTAGAAGCCACCCTTTAATGAAAGCTATTATAAAGCCTCCAAAGAATGTTGATATAAGCTGTATACATTTTCCGACCTGAATGAAGAAGAAATGGATTTCTTAAGCATTGAGCATTTTCCTTGGAACGTTTAATAGAAAATGTTGTTACCTTCTCCCCCATTGCATCTTGTATAAGCACGGTGTCGCCCGACATCCTATCGACCACCTCTCCGGTGTTCGTTTCCAAATCAAAGAACGAAACGTCTTGTCTCAATATAGTTTTGAGATACAAACCTCTTATTCTTGAAGCTTGCCTCTCTCCTGTGACCATCCAACTCGACACCTCTGATATACAAAAAAAATGAAGAATTCGACAATCAGAAACGTTTATGTAACAGCCCAAGCACACAGCTAGTAGATATTGTTCTCTATGGGTTTGCCCTCTCGACCTTCCCCTCAAGGTTTTTAAAACGCGTTTGCTAGGGAAAGGTTTCCACACTCTTATGAAGGGTGTTTCGTTCTCCTCCCTCAACCAATGTGGGATCTTACAATCCACCCCCCTTCAGGGCCCAGCGTCCTTGTTGGCACTCGTTCCTTTCTCCAATCGATGTGGGACCCCCACCAAATCCACCCCCTTTGGGACCCAGTGTCCTTACTAGCGCACCGCCTCGTGTCTACCCCCCTTCGAGGAATAGCCTCCTCGCTGGCACATCGCCCGGTGTCTGGCTCTGATACCATTTGTAACAGCCCAATCACACCACCAGCAGATATTGTCCTCTTTGGGTTTTTCATTTCGGGCTTCCCCTCAAGGTTTTTAAAACTCATCTACTAAGGAGAGTTTTCCACATTTGTATAAATAAGAGTGTTTCGTTCTCCTCCTAAACCGATGTGGGATCTTACAATCCACTCCACTTCAGGGCTCAACGTCCTCGCCACATCACCCGGTGTCTGACTCTGATACCATTTGTATTGGCCCAAGCACACCGCTAGCAGATACTATCCTCTTAGGGCTTTCCCTTTCAGGCTTCCCCTCAAGGTTTTTAAAACACGTCTGCTGTGAAGAGGTTTCCACACCCTTATAAACGGTGTTTCGTTCTCCTCCCCAACCAATGCAGGATCCTACAGTTTATGCAACACAACACAAATTCAACACTCGGAATCAAAAAAGTCTTACGGATAAAAGCAGCAACACCACATCCAATTGCTAAGTACACAAACTTGAGACTGACCTGCACAAGAACAGTTTGAAATCAATAAAGTTTATGAAATGAAGCTTTTCTTGTAGTAAAACAAAAAGGGATTCTTCTCTTACCTTGGAAACTGCTTTAACTATATCTGTGTTTTTCTGATTAATACCAAATGAATCAGTCAATTCACCAAACAAAATGGTCATAAGGGGTAGAGAGAGTCCATTCCCGATGGCACCAATCGAGCCAACGATCATTAGAAGAACATCGGTCGAATCGGCAAAGGAGAACAGCTTGAAGAACGGAACCGATTTCGTTTTCGTATCCTCATTTTTGTTCTTCATTTCATTGCTTCTTGATGAGCTTGGATGATCTGCGTTGTTTGAGTTTCCATCTACACCATTTTCTATCTCCATTTTGTCTTAAATTCAAGTTCTACTAGCTGGAAAAGAGTACACAAAAGAATGGCTTATTAGAATCATTGCTTTGAAATCTAGAACATATTTGGTTAAAAAGTAGCATAAACTTGTAGAGAACAAAAGAGAAAATGTAACCGCTCAAGCCTGAACCCGAGCCCACCGCTAGTAGATATTGTCCTCTTTGGATTTTCCCTTTCGAGCTTCTCCTCAAGGTTTTTAAAATGCGTCTACTAGGGAGAGATTTTCATACCCTTATAAAAAATGTTTCGTTCTCCTCCCTAACCGATATGGGATCTCACAATCCATCCCCTCGGAGCCAAGCGTCCTCACTGGCACTCGTTCCCTTCTCCAATCGATGTGAGACCCCTTAATCCACCCAATTCACCCCCTTCGGGCCCAGCATCCTTGTTGGCACACCGTTTTATATCCACCTTCGAGGCTAAGCCTCCTTGTTGGCACATCACTTGGTGTCCGGCTCTAATACCATTTGTAACAGCCCAAGCTCATCGTTAGCAGATATTGTCCTCTTTGGGATTTCTCTTTTGGGCTTCCCCTCAAGGTTTTTAAAACGTGCTTGCTACGGAAAGGTTTCCACACCCTTAAAAGAATGTTTCGTTCTCCTCCCCAACTAATGTGGGATCTCACAAGCCACCTCCTTCAGGGCCAGCATCCTTGCTAGCACACTGCCTCGTGTCCACCCTATTTGGGGCCAAGCCTCCTCACTGACACATCACCTGATGTCTGGCTTTGATACCATTTGTAATGGCTCAAGCTCACCGCTATATTCTCCTCTTTGGGCTTGCTTCCCCTTAATGTTTTTAAAACGTGTTTACAGAGAAAAGTTTACACACCCTTATAAAGAACGTCGTTCATTGGATCTCACAGAAAATGGAATAAAAAGCTGAAAATCAAATGAGAAACCGAAACCAAAACCAAATGAAGAACAAAAGAAAGCTCCCCAGAATGCTCTACCATGGAAAGAAACACAGAAAACAAGAACAGTTAAGATCAAAACCATGATCAAAGGCTTCATTGAGAAGAACTATCCCAAACCCACATGAAAAAGATTGATACCCACAACAGAAACCATCCTGGAAAGGGACAACACAACCACAAGAAAGCTCCAAAGCACCAAAAAAAGAACAAAAAACAAATACAGGTGGGTGCCAAACCTTGCAGAAGATCAAAGCAAAAGAACACCACTAGCTCCACCTGGGAGGAGCACTTAGAACAAAGAGCTCTTAATGGCACCTTCCATAGGGGCAGAGCTTTATAAAGGGCTTCTTTCTTTTATTTTGTTGATGGGTTTTAAAAGAAAAACAAAACCCATTTTCCAAAATTCAAAGCCACCAACAATCCTTTGAAACATCCACACGTCTGCTTGTAAGCTAAGTAAAACTGTTCCCTCATCTGAATATAAAATTCGCCGTTTTGACTTTTTTGAAGAACAAATGTTCGTCTTTTCCTCTTCCTCCTCTAGTCTGGAACGTGCGGAGATTCACGTTTTATAAATGTGTAGAAATCTCTCCTTAATATACGTGTTTTACAAATTTTGAGAGTAAGTTCGGAAAAAAAAATCAAATTGGACAATATTTGTCGATGGGTAGACACAAGGCGATGTAGACCTTGAAGGAGAGTGGATTTGGTGGGGTCCCACATTCGATCTCACAGATTTGGTGAAATCCTGAAGGGTGTATTGTGAGATCCCACATCGGGTGTGAGGAGAGAGTGGATTTAGTGAGACCCACATGGATTGGAGAAAAGAACGAGTGCGAGCGAGGACAATAAGTCCTGAAAGGTGTATTGTGAGATCCCACATCGATTTGTTAGGAGAAGTGGATTTGGTGGGATCCCACATTGATTAGATAAAATAACGAGTGCCACTAATGACCTTGGGTTCTGAAGGGTGTATTGTGAGATCCCACGTCAATTTGTGAGATCGATTGGAGAAAGTAACTCAGCGGGGACGCTGGGTCCTAAAAAGGTAGATTGTGAGATCTCACCTCCTCGATTGTGAGGAGAACGAAATACCCTTTTATAGGGGTGTAGAACCCTACCCTACCCGACCCATTTTAAAAATCTTGAAGGTACGCTCGTATAGTAAAATTTAAAAAAATACAATATCTATTAGCAATAGACTCGACCGTTATAGAATATTACAACCATAAACAGGTAATGGATTTGAATCAAGAAATGAGCAGGAAACGGTAAAGATGTTGATTGTCCATTTCTTGAATCGGTGCTCTGACAGCAAAATTGTTATTAGAAAAAATAACATTTTTCCTAGAAGATTGAATAACGTGGCCTTTGTCGGGCATACTTCATTTATTTATTCAACTTTTGACTTGCTTTTTTTTTAAAAAAACCTATGAATTTCATATGGGAAAAATAAACGGATTAGATACAATGAGACCGAGAATTTTCGGTTTAGACATAAAATGGAATCGAGAATTTTCTAACCGTAAACCGTAAACCGTCAAATTCATTAGATAAAATGGAATCGAGAATTTTCATTTCGACTTGAAATGAAAGAGAGTGATAATACACTTTGTCCGATTAAATAAATAAGTATAAAAATTATTTTCTTCGTCCCCATCCTCACTCAATTCTCGATCCTTATATATCTCTCTCTCTCTCTCTCTATATATATATATATATATATAAATTATATTCTTCGTCTTCATTCTCGTCTAATTCTCGGCTCCACCTATATTTAATATTACAAATAATTTATTTAAATATATATTTTTAAAAAATTTATTAAATCAAATAAATAAATAATATTACAAAAAAATGGCATTTAAAAATGTCTTTAAATTTAAAAAGTGGAAAACTGTTTCAAAAACTAATTTATTTAAATGTAATAAGTAATATATTTATAAGTAAATGGTATTGTGGTAAAATACCTAATTAAATCATGACTTTATTTAGTATTATTAATTTAAGCATTAATTCCATTAATATATCTATTACCCAAATAATAAATTTAAATTAAGTATTAATATTTTTTAATTAAATTATTTAAACTATAATTTAAATTTTATTTAATCAGTTGAAATCTTTTTTTTTAATTAATTTATTCTTTGTATTAATAAAAATATCCTTAAATTTTGAACTATTTTTTTTTTTAAAAAAAGTTTTAAATAATTAAAGTGTAATTTAATAGTTAAATATTGTTTTAAAATATTAAAGTGTTAATAATTTTCTGTTGAAAGTTTGAATTATACCCTAAAAAATTATTATTAATTCAATAAATCTCAATCACTCATTATCTTAAATTAAAATTATTAATTCAATAAATCTCAATCATTCATTATCTCTTAATTTTTTTAATCACTATTTATTTTATTTATTTATTTATTTATTTATTTATTATTATTCTTATTCTCGCATCGACTTTTCACTTGATTCGTCTACGAGGTAGGGTTCGTGATTCTCAACCAATAAAATTTATTATTTATTTTTATAAGGATCAGGACACGAATTTCTTAGAATCGAGTTCCTAATAGAAAAAAAAAAGAACAAAATAATTTAGTTTTTTTTTTTTTTTTTTTTTT